CCTTCCCCTCCCCATCTTTCCTCTCTCCTTCTCCTCCTCCCTCCCCTCTCCTCCTCCCTCCCCTCTTTTTCCCCTCCATCCCCCTTTTCCTCCCTCCCCCCTCCTCCCCTCCTCCCCTCCTTCCCTCCCCCTTCCCTTCCCTCTCCCTCCCCTCTCCTCCCTCCCCCTTCCTTCCCTCCGTCCCTCCCTCCCCCTTCCCCCTTTCCCTCTCCTTTTCCCCTCTCCCTTCCTGCACTCTCCTCTCCTCCCTCTCCTCCGAATCCCACCGGCCACTGATCATTCGGCTGCTATTGATTTCGCTTATAATGCAGCAGAGCGGACGCGGCGGGGACGGGGAGGGACTGACTGGACGTGCTAGTGAATTTAACTAAGGGGGGGTGGAGGGAGGGGGGAGGGGGGAGGGGTTAATCTGTCCTGTTTTTTCCTCTCTCTCTCTCTCTCTCTCTCTCTTTCTCTCCCTTGTTCTGTCTTTCTCTATCTTCCTGTCGCTTATTAGTTTTGTCTCTTTTTTTTTCTTTTAGTAAATCAGTGAGAGTATAAGTAAGAGGGAGAGTATAAGTAAGAGGGAGTAGTATAAGTGAGAGTGAGTGAGTGATTGTGAGTAAGAGTGAGATTGTGAGTAAGAGTGAGATTGTGAGTAAGAGTGAGATTGTGAGTAAGAGTGAGATTGTGAGTAAGAGTGAGATTGTGAGTAAGAGTGAGATTGTGAGTAGAGTGAGAATGTGAGAGTGTGAAGTTGTGGAGAGTTTTTAGTAAAAAAGTGAGAGTGTGAGAGTTTGAGTAAAAGTGAGAGTGAGAGTTAAAGTTAAACTGAGATAAAGAGAGAGAGAGACTGTGTGTGAGTCTGCCATCCCGGCCAAACCAACCCCTTTCCAGGCAACTGATGTTTTCCTGGTCTTCCTGGTCTTCGGCAGTCTCTCTCTCTCTCTCTCTCTCTCTTCTCTCTCCTCCTCTCTCTCTCCTCTCTCTCTCTCTCTCTCTCTCTCCTCCCTCTCTCTCTCTCTCTCTCTTCTCTCTCTCTCTCTCTCTCCTCCTCTTCTCTCTTTCCTCTCCTCTCTCCCCCCCACCATCAGAGGTACTCTCAGAGGCCAGTACTAAGGAAAGTTTTTCCCTGAAAGTCCGATATTTTATTAGACGCGACATATATTTATGATTTCCCTTGCGAGGAGCAGGTGGCGGCCATATTGGGTAGATTTTTTTCCTTTTTGTGTGACCTTTTTTCCCCTCACTATATTTGGGAAGGTTGTTTGGAAGGAAATGTTGACAGCGGAAAGCATAACGTTTTTTGTTGTTGTTTTTACTTACTGAGACATACGTTTTTTCTTCCTTTTGCGGGAAAAAAGTGTTGATCGTTAAACTACCTTGCAGTTCAGGTAACATGGTGGACTTTTATGGTGTGAAAGTATGATGTTGTGTGATGACCTATCGAGGCCCATTGTGCGGTTGATGACGTAACATGGCTTTGAGTTTTCTTCTCTCTCTTTCTCGTTCTTTTGTTTATAACGTTATCTCTTATTTCATTGTGTATTTGTGTTTAGTCTCGAGGATTTTTATGGAATAGTAAGGGTGATGGTTAATTTTTTATGATTATTATCATTTTTGTTGGCGTCATTATATTTATTTGGTTTTCTTTTATTTATTTATACGTGTTTAGGGCATTTGACGCCAGTTAGACTTACTGCGTCTCTGAGCAAAGACCCTCGACCGCAGTGACGTATACCCACTTGTAAAAACGAATTTAAAACGGCTAAGATAAACATTTATTTCTATCTATCTCTCTCTCTCAAACATCTTTAATGCCATTCACGCCGATTTGTGAATAGAGAGAAAAGGCACACGGGGATAGAATGAGAGGAGAATAAGACTGGAGAGAAAGCTAAAGTACAAGTTGATGGAATTGGATCAAAATCGCATAGAGTGCTTGGGTTAAAGTGGATAGGCGGGGAAGCGTGAGTACTCTCGTGTATACGTGGGCGAGCGAAGGACTGCATTTATTTATTGCAGAGAGAGAGAGAGAGAGAAGAAGAGAGAGAGAGAGAGAGAGAGAGAGAGAGAGAGAGAGAGAGAGAGAGAGAGAGAGAGAGAGAGAGAGAGAGAGAGGAGAGAGAGAGAGAGAGAGAGAGAGAGAGAGAGAGAGAGAGAGAGAGGGGAGGTTGAAAAGAAGAAATATATGAGAAAAGTGGAGAAGAAAATGCGACATGCGAAGAGGCAAGAATAAGGATGGGAATACTCTGTACATATTACATGTTTAATAGAAACAGAGTTTAAGGAAAAAGTGAGAGAGAGAGAAAAAGCAAGTAAATGTTTCTGTGCATGAGCATCGCGAGGCGGAGGCACAGGGCGGGAACTACACACAAAACGTCGTTCTTCTGCTGCTGAAGCCGGGAGCGGAACGGCAACGTGGACATTACGCGGGCGTGGCGGTGTCGCGTGGGCGTGGGAGCTGCCTTGTGAACGTGGGTTTGAGTGTGTGGTCGTGGGTGCGGTGGTGTATGGTCAGCGTGGTGGGTGTATTCCAGGAGGAGGAGGAGGAGAAAGAGGAAAAGAAAAGAAGGAGGAGGAAGAAGAAAGAGGAGGAGGAAGAAGAAGAAAAGAGGAGGAGAAAGAAGAAGAAAAGAGGAGGAGAAGAAGAGAAAGAGGAAAGAAGAAGAAGAAAAAGAAAAGAGGAGGAAGAAGAAGAAGAAGGAAGAAGAAGCCATGCCATGTATACGAATGAAGACGCAGACGAACCGGGTCTCCTCCGACGGGGCGGAGGAAGGGCCGCGCGGCGTGAGGCTCGGTCCAAGCTTGACTGTGTTTGAGGCTGTGTTTGCTCCGATTATTATCTTTATTGTGGCGTTGTCGGCCGCTTGATTGGTGTAATTAGTTGATTACCTAATTTGGAGCTCCATTGTGATAATATGCTAATGAAGCATGCTCATTTACTTGATCTTGAATGATGTTGATAATTTTAATCGTGTTGCTAATTCCTTTCTCTCTCTCTTTTTAAAGGTGAGTGATCAGCCCGAGGTGTAACGCCCAGAATGCAGCCACAGGTAAAGTTGGAGAGCCAGTCGTGTCTGCGGGCGGGCGGGCGTAGGGCGTAGGGCAGATGTAATGGAGTCATTAAGGGGCGCCCACTTTCCGCGTTTCCCTGGGGGACATCTGGTAGAGCCATCCACCCTGCCCGCGTGTAGGGGGAGAAAAGGGGGTGAAGGACGTGTGTTATGGGGGCGAGGAGAGGGGAGGGGAGAAGAGAAGAGAAGAAATGAAAGGAAAGAAGAGGAGAGGGGTGGGGAGGGGAGGCGAGAGGAGAGGAGAGGAGAGTAGAAGAGGAAAGGAAAGGAAAGAAGAGGAGAGGGAGGATGGGGGGAAGGGGAAGGGGGGAGAGAGAGCGGAGAGGAGAGGACGACGATTCGATTCGAGGCGAGATGAGCCTAGTATATGACAGCTAACGCCTAATCCCTCGTGAAGCCGCTGTATACCGGAGCCGCCGTTCCCGCGGTCGCCCGAAAGAGCCAGCTAAATTGCACCGCCGGCTGCCGGGCGCGGAGACGGGCGAAACGGATCGCCGGTCGCCCGCGCCCGTCACGTCGAGCTCCTTTCTGCACGTCATGCTTTATCGTCGAGCAGCCGTCTCCCGCGCCGCCGTAATGCAGCCTCAGAAGCCGGTTGGAAGGAGCCCCCTTCGCCCTCGCATTGAGGCAAGAGACGAACAATTACGACATCCACAAAAAAGAGACGAAATGAAAAGAAGAAAAAAAAGTGATGTTTCCTGGGGTCAACACCTTGTCTGTAATGATTGCTTGCTTCGGGCGTTTCGGCAGTACGAGGTTACATTAGAGTTCAGCTTAGTTCTTTTTTTATTTCTTTTTCTTTTCTACGTTCTTCCCTTTATGTAGTTGAAGACTAACCTTTGCACGCTCAGGTGGGAATAGAGTTTGTGAGAGCAGGTTACGCTTAATGGCGAGTAGATTAGGTTACCTTGGCCACCGAGAAGCGGAACTGCGACGTGTCCGGGCTCGCTTATGGCGCGGCCCGCGGGAGTGCGCCCTGTGGCTGCCGCAGGAGGGTCTAACGAGACTTTTAACGAGGGCCTTTGTTTATGAATTCACAATTCCGTGATTTATATGTTCGATGCATATGTCCGCCTCAGATGCCAAATGCTTGAGAATCGATTTGTGCAGAATTAGGCTAATAAATGCCCTATACAATTTCCTTTTAGAGTTTAGCACGCCAAGTATGTGTTCGATATGCTTTCACAATCCAAGTGAATGCACCTGTTTTTAAATATTCATCCGTATACGGAACGGTCATGCGGAAATTGTTCCTTCGGTGGCGTGTGGCAACTCCGGCCATGGGTGGCTCCTGAGACTAAGTTGATGGTTGCTTACTTTCGCGTCACTCGGCAAATGGGCAGATTTGAAGATTGTCAAGGGTTATAGGCTTTCAGATGCTCTTCCATTTGATGCAGTTATATTTTTAACACCTCTGTCTACATGTTAATTTAGGTAAAAAAAAAAAAAATAAATGAATTGTAAAGAGTGAAACGCAGTATTCATAAACTCACAACTGTGAATGTTGAGAAGAATCATCAAATAATTGTTTAGAAAATACTATTTATTAGCCACAACATGTCGAGTATATCTGGTATATATCGTTGAGGAACATAGCAGGGAACCCTTACTGGAATTTGTATGCGCCAAAAGCGACATTAGTCACCTAATGGGAGCCTGAACGATTGAAATGGAAATGGTCGATGGATGCGGCAAACTTTGCCAATTCCTGCCCCTGCATTCGCTTCGTACGCTGCGCAATTAGCCGAGATGCGAATGTGTGCTCCTTCAGATCAGATTATGTCACGTGGCGGCCCCTAGCGAACCCATCGGTGTGGGAGACGGGCACACGAAGTGTAGTGAGTGTGGGCTGAGGGCAGAGAAAGTTGAATGCGAGTCTGGGTCCACCCACACTCAGGCCCCAGCTGATGGAGAGAGATCCTCGCCTTGCGCTCGTCGCTCGCTAGTACAGCCTTGGGAGTGGCGGTGGAACAAGGCGCTGCCGCGGCCCTCGAGTCGGGCTTTGTTGTGGCGTGACATCAGCTGCTGACGGACTTGCTCTTGTGGGTGGCGATGGCTGACGTCACGGCGTGGAAAATTGCATTTCAAGTGGTGTAGCCCTAAGGAGCTGTGAGAAATAGATCGGCTGTGCCAGTTGTAATATGGTTATGAAGGCCTATATCAGAAAAGTCATTATTATTTATAGAATATTAACTGAGAGAAACACAGGATTGAAAAGCTCTCTTTATAGACGGAAAGGCGGCATTACCTGATTGGAGGAGATTATGACGATAACGAAATAGTGACCGTGGAGGTGGCGCCGGAAATGAGTGTTGTCATGCTGTCGTTGCCAACGCTCTGCTTTTGTTGAACAAGTTGCAAGGTTCGAATCGACCTCATCTGCGACGTGGCACTGTGATGGCGGTGGACGAAGTATTGAAGTCTTAGAGATCTGGCGATGAACAGGTGTGAAGGCAGTGAAGGTGCGACTGCTGTGCGTGGCCGCCCACCGCCCATTCGGAATGTGGGCGTGAATACAGTTGGAAGTCCTCGTCGCACCCACGCTAATCCTCTCGATAGGGAATAAAAACTTGTCACTGAAGCTTGTGAGATTTTCCGACAGAGATTGACACAGCGATAGGGTAGAATTTCGATTTAGATTAAGAGAGTGTAAACATTCCTTGCTCGCTGATTCTCGTGCCGCGGCGCGTCCGCACCCGCGCGACCGAGGCTGTCGAGGGCCTGTCGGGCGGCATTGAAGGCCCGCGTCAGTTATCGATGCCGACGGGAGCTCCGAACAAAGCTCAAGGCCCGAGTGCGTCCGGCGGCGAATGCAAATCAACAGTTTGTGGTTTGTGAGGCTCTTGTGCCTTGGGTGGCATTCCCTTACCAGCCTCCCCCTCCCCCTACACCCCCGTGGCCCACCTGCTGGTCACTGTATCAGGCGGGCCACTGTGCCACCTCTGGGCGCGCTCGTCTTGCTCGCCTTTCACTTGAGTTCCTGTCTCCCCTTCCCTCGCCTCCTCCTCCCCCGCCCTCATCATTTCCTCACTCCGACAGGCTTCGGTCAGATTTCTTCTTCTCCTGCATTTAATGAGAACAGTAAGCTTATTCATGGCCGGTCAGCGGCGATTCCACACGGGGACGTGGAAGGGAGCGCTTTCCCGGTACTTTTACTCGCCGGCCATTCATTCCCCCGCCGGTCACCGCCCCGCTGCGGGTCGCTCGCTGGGAGTGGAAAGGTTAAGGAGACCCGACCCGCGAACCGAGGCCTAAGCTCCCTTTCTCATGTTTATTTTTTACTTTTATTTTTCTATTTTTTAGGGGGGCGGGGTTCTTAAAGGACGTGCTGCGTGTGGCTAGCTTCCTCTTGTCAGATCGTGACTGACGGTATGTTTGCGGGGAGAGGTATTCTGATATCGGATACCAGATAGATAAACAAGACCGGGTGTATCGATGGAATATGAAAACAGGGAGCAGGGAGCGTGACGAGGGACAAGTTCGGAACGCTGCACGAGTGATAAATCATAGCCCGGTAACAGCTCGTCAACCGGGATAGCTGACATGAATCTGAAATAACTTCCGTCAACCGTATAGCTGACATGAATCTGAAATAACATCCGGGAACAGCTTAGCAACCGAATAGCTGACATGAATCTGAAATAACATCCGTCTCTCCCATGCCATGATGACCGGCCATTAGTAGTTTTGTTACCAGGTCTTCGGATACACGCGAGAGAGAGGGTCAGGGACGGGGAAGTAGGTCCCGCCCACAGGAGTGCAAGGGAGGGAGAGGAAGAACACAGAGGGAGGGAGAGGAAGAACACAGAGGGAGAGAGAGTGAGAGAGAGAGGGCCGGACAAGTGCCGCTTTTGCAGTGCCAGGATCGCGTTACTGGACTCACACACCCTCTGGCCCTTTTACGAGGTTGAATTATCCTTTATGGGACGTTGTTTTAAGATTGCGGCAGGGGGAGCAGGGGTGGAAGGGGCGGGGTGACCGGAAGCAGATGTAGGGTCGTTGCAAGTGGAAACCATCTGTGGACTGGTTGAAAATGTAGTTAATCAGATGGGACTTAGCAGGAGAGAGCTTACTTCACTTGGGGTTTTCAGGTCACGGGTACATGACGGTTTGTTTGTTCTGAACAAATTAGCCTTTATATTAGGGCCGAATTGGCGATGCGATCTCCCTGTTGACAAAGGTGATGATGGCTGGCGAGGGAAAAGTATCATCACCTAACATTACTGTTGCTGGGCTGTCGGTAAGTGGGCAGAGGGCGTGGGCGGGGGCTGAACTGAGGCTAAAGTGTTTACGTGAGGCCGGGTAGGTCATTGGTATATTTGTCCGCTGGTGCTAACGTGAATGACTTACTAAACGTGGGCTTGGACGCGTTCAGTTAAGGGCGTGGGCGCTTAAGGAATTGGCCAAGAAGGGTTAGGGGTTCTGCTTATAAGTGGATAGTTGT